TTAATAAAGAATAAACTCATATAATTTTCATACTTAAAATAATTTTGTATTAAAAGATATCATTGTTCAAACTTAATCACCATTGAATAAGAAAAGTCAATATAGCCAATCTTTTTGGGACGAAAGGAGTATTACATCAAAAATGATGTTCATACTCACTCTATAACTACTCTTAAAAGCTACTGAATATTACATCAAAAATATTATATCAGAAAGGATGTAGTTTTAGTTTTAAAATTTTGATGCCACAATAAACTAATGATATTTATTAAAAGGGAAAAATAATTAAAGTAATCCAAACTTTGAAGGGGTGTGAGATGAACAAATCAAACTTGAATATGTAATATAAATATCTAAACTCTATACAAAAAGTTATTTTATACTCCGTATAAAATTTGTGTATTCAAATTACATATGCAGATTCAGGGTGTTTATCTCAGACCCCTTTAAAGTTTGAAGTATTTTTATTACTCAATCCGTCCCACTAAGATTGTCCCGTGCACTATTCACTTGGTCAATGCGAATCACTCTTAATCTCCTACTTTATATATCAATTTTTTATCAAATTTGATTCAGATTTTTGCGACTTTGTAAAGCTTTTAATGTAGTTTCTGAATATGTATTTTTTTCTTTTTAAAAATAATTTTAGAACGGACAAGAATCTGTTTGCTTAATTATTTTATGATCGGTCAAGCATCGTAAGTCGAATTGTCCCAATCTTAATGACGTGAGACGGAAGTAGTAATTTTTTTTCTTATTAAAAACGTATGTGAAAAGTCTTTTGATGACTGCTCGCTATGACGAGAACAGACTCGTTTCAAAACAGACGGCAGCAAATGATTTACATAGGGAGTAGTGTATTATTTCAGTTCTAAAAAAGTGACCCATGGCCCACTGAACTCAGCCGCAGTCACATCACTTCAATTCCATACTATGTTCACTACAGGCTACCTTAACTCTAGAGAGTGACAATTATATATTCAAATCGCAGGCAGGCACCGCGTGGCCTCAAGTTTGACCATGGTTGAATACTTTAATTCAACACTTCTAATACGGAGTACTTTCATTCTTCAATGTTTTTTCTTAATATTACTCCCTTGGGCCGCTAATAGTATTCAAGACAATATTTAAGGAAAAAAATAATATCAACAATGAATAGTGTAGAAAAAGTAGGAGAAAAAGTAGGAAAGAAAAGGTAAAAAGTAAAAACGGTAAGGATAACTTAACATTTTAAAAAAAAAACTTATCAAAAAGAAAAAGAGTATAATTTTTTTTAATACATCTCAAATAAAAAGTATAACAAATGTTTAAATACGAAGAGTACTGAGTATTATATAGAAGTATCAGTTTTTCTGCCAATTTTTTTTTTTCCGTGAATAATTAAAAGTCAAATATTTGTCAAAAGTAACAAATTTGTTACTTCTGACAAAATAACATTGCCTCTGTTCCTTCAAAAAAACAATATTGCCTTTGTTTCCCTTCATATCACTTTCGATGAACACACGTCGCTTCAGATTCCGCATGTATCGGTTATACGATACAAAAGAATTACTGAAAACGATAACACTTGTTGAGGTATATATCCCGGTCTACTACTGTTCTGGATCTCAATTCATCGCCTTAGTACGAAGCCCGAATGACGAGGGCCATATAGGCGTATTAGGCCTGTTTCGGCCTATCAAGCCCATTTTGGCCCACTTGGCTCATTAGGGTAGGCTTATCCCCTACACCCATATCCCTATAAATAGGAGGCCTTCCATAAATGTAAAGAGTTGGTCTCTTCTTCCCCAATTCCTTCTCCTTCTCTCTAGAATAGATTAACTAACAACCTCCATTAATGAGAGCTTCAATACCTTGTATTATGTAATGGTGAGGAGAGCTAAATGAGAATGAAATGGCTTGTACATTAGTCTAATAAATCCCGTGATTTTCTCCCTTTCGGGTTTCCACGTAAAGATCGAGTGTTCATACCAAATTATATCTATATTTGTTATATCGTGTTGGATTAAACTCAACAACAATCACTTTATTCGAGGCGGGCCCAGTTTCCGATATATTATTATCTCCGTACTCCTACGAGTTAGATAATACAGATCGAATGGTGCGTTTTGTTGAGAAAACGAAATCGTGGGATAATTAGTAAAGTTTGAATAATGTAAGAATACGTCAAAATCAGTCACATATTAACAAATCTGGCAATGATATGAGACAAATTTAGTGAGAGAATGAGAAGGATAAAATGAGACAATGATAAGGAGACGAATGGAATAGTTCTTATTGAAAACAATAGATTACCACCAACACTTCTCTCTTGAGATCCTATTGGGCTATTGGCTGGTTGCATTTAGGGAGAACTACTCAAACGGACCAAAACATGCTACTTCCTCTTTCCCTTTTACTTTATCAAGTTTAATTGATGCGGATCGGAGAATAAAAAATTAAAGGCTGTGTAATTAAGATTTTGCAGAGGAGGGAGAAATAAAATGAACTACAATTCAATTGATTAAAAGAGAAACCAACAAAATTTTTGGGACAAAAAAAAATGAAAGACGACAAAATTAGAAGAGATTGAGGGAGTAAAATTCCAAATATAGGAGTGAATGTTTAAAATTACACATGTAAAGACTTATTATTTGTGATTTCAAAATAATACTCTCATAATTGGAGCTTGGTTACCAAACTGCCATGGCTGACCGCCACCACTGGACCGTCATCGAAATGATGCGGGATTGCAGCTACCATAGTGCCGCTGTCACTGGAGTACGTACGTGCCACCGCCATTGCTGGACTGCGATGATTACATTACTCGAGGAGTTAAGGGGGCAATTAATTATACTTATTAATTATATTAAAGGTAAAAATATAATGTTGAGTCTTATTTAAGAAAACTAAAACATGTAATCCTATTTAGAGAATACTCCTATATTTTAGTCCTATTTAGTGCATTTTTTTTCGAATTAGAGAATTAGTGAAAAGGCTGGTGAGGTGACAAATCAAGAGATTTAAAGTTCGTTTTTAGTATTACTGGAGTTAGTTTAATCGGCCGAATATGTTGAAATTGATGAAGTGCCACTGAAGCGGTTAAAATAATTAAATTTGCTGAATCATAAAAATTATATTAATATAAAAATAGCTAAGTATTTATCTCCAACAATTTCAGTCAATTCAGTCTTAAAACAACTCAAATATTATTTATTTTGATTATTATACACTTCATCACCTATATCAAAAGTAATGTGTTTTGTAAAAATTAAATAATACTCCGTACGTAGTAGTCTAATTAGAGTATAAGACTATTCAATAAAACTCTGGGTTACTAAACATACTCGAAATCTAACTTTGGATCTAGCTTTATTGCTGAAATCTAACTTGTGGGTTTCTTTTTTTGGTAATAATGATTAGAGAAACAAGCTGAAGACATGTTTTTTTTAATGAGAATATTTGTTATGTTTGGAAGTTGAAACATACCAGATAATGTAAGAATGGTGAATCATCGTGACTAGAGCAGGTGAGTATCGAAGTTTGGAGGATCGAACCACGTTGAGAGCTCATTTGGTGACACAAAAATCGGTTGATTCTGCTGAAATTTATTAAATTCTGGCTGAAGTAACTGCATTGACTGGTTCAGTCAATTTAAGAAAAAAGTATTTTAGGGTGAAGTCACAATGAGTTATGTAATAATAAGAAAAAATTTGAGATGACCATTCTCATGTGCTGAATTGTGTAATAATAAGAAAAAGTAAGGTTGAAGTTATTTTTATGGTTATATTGGCTGAATTTACTCTAGATTACCATTTTAGATATTTTTACATATATTTTTTTCTTTATTTTATTAATAAAATATATTTATAAGATACGCGTTTGGTGAAAAAGTTGGTTGATAAGTGTGATAAGCCGAAAAACAGTGTTACCAAACAGCTTCTCAATAAGTTGGGACACCATATAGCACAACATTTCAAACACATCAATTTTCATAAAGGTATGTGTGAACAATAAGATTTCGATTCTGAGTTTTTTTGGCACAAAATTGAAATTGTTTGAATCGACTAATTTTACTAAACCAATAAATTTCTGATTGAATAATGATAAAAGTATATTTAAAATAAATTATATTAATAAAATAAGAAATAAATTATATAAAAAATAAAATCGTCTTTTATAGTATTAAAAAAATTGACTGACAAGTGGATAGGTTACAACAGGGACCATTAAAATCGTGAATTGAGTGCACGGAATTGTAAATGAGTAGTATTAGTAGGGGTGGGATCGGTCCGGTCTGGGTCGGGTTTTTGCTAAACCCGAAAATTACCCGGAAAGTCTCGGGTTATGAAAATTAGGGACCGGAACAAAGCTCATTATTTAAAGCCCAGCCGTGAAATATGTCATTGTTTTATATTTTAACACTTATTTTCAAATAAAATTAACCAAAAATACAAACCGCAAATAATAACACAAATATTAGTCTCCAAAATCACCAACAATTCAAATTTAAAGAAGATAATTATCTTAATATTTTATGTAAGATGTATATATATAAATAATATAGGTTTCTTAAAAATATTACGAAATAAATTTTATAAATAAAAAAGTTACTAGAGTTGCTATAAATATATTCTCATGGTCATCATTATGCTAAACAAATTCAACATATTCGTAGTCACTAAAAATTATTAAATCTTTTTTTATCCACCGTGATTATAGTCATATATTAGGAAATATTTTATTTATATTCATATACTATATTAATTTTATATTAAAAGTAATTGTTTCGGGTTTTTTCGGTCCGGGCCGGGTTATAGATTTTAAGGCCCGTTAATGAGCTCGGAATTTTCGGTTCGGTCCGGTTTTTATTAATTCGGGCCGGTTAAAAAGAAAAAACCCGGACCGGGATCATAATTTGATCGGGTCGGTCCAGGATCGGTTTCCGGGTTTCGGTTCGGTTTTTCCCACCCCTAAGTATTAGTGCTTTAAATACAAAAAACATGCTTCAAAAAAAAAAATACAAAAAATATACTACATTTTTTCTTAAAATAAAATATTCTGCATTGTTTAAGCAATTGCAAAAATGGGGTGTGCAATTGGTGCAAACACATTTTTTCAAGATGGAACATTCTTGTCATAATCTTACGACAGGAACTAACTAGTGGCACAATATTTCCCATGAAATATTACTCGTATATTTTTATACCACGAAATCTAAAGAACAAAAATGCCATTAATTAAGTCCAGTGGCAATACTGTCAAAAAAAAAAGTCCAGTGGCAAAAAAAAATCCGGGACCAATGATCTTGCCCATTTTCCTCTAAGCGTTGCTTCAAAAATTCCAGAGAAATGATTCTTGTGAAGTATATTCAGCATATTGGTCTTCGATGTGGTCATATGTTCCCGGCAAAGGCCGGGGGAAATAATTGTCATTGCAAAAATGATCAAATTCCGAAAAATACCCCAACTCCGTTACGTTATTTTCACTGGGAGCGTTCAACGAAGAGGAGACGAAGAAACGCTGGAGAAATCCATCGTCCCCAAAGGTCGTTCGTGTCATTTCACTTTCAAATTGGTGGCCCGGCCCGTCGGAAATCGACTGAGAAGGCGACTCGGCATTGAAGGAGTACGATGACGAAAGCGAGGTCGATGGATCCGGAACAATTTCAGGACCCGACTCGCTAACCCGGGTCTCCGCGTTGGCGAAACGGGCCGCCACGACCTTAATTTGGTCGTGGGACAAAGACCCGCCATCGACGATGTCGGGAGGGTTGTCGGGGAAGTTGAACTTAGCATTCCTACCGCGCAGACAAAAGAGGGCGGCGTCGAATGCCCGCGCCGCCTTCTCCGGCGAGTCGAACGAGCCGAGCCAAATCCGTTCCCGGCTGTTGGGGAGCCGAATCTCCGACACCCATTTCCCCCAATTCCTCTTCCTCACTCCCCTGAACTTGCTAGAAGACGACGAAACGTTGTCGTTCGAGTCTGTGCTCTGTTTTTCCGGCCTCCCCATTTGAGTTTTTGTTGTTGATGATTGAATTTGGGAATGGAGGGAGAATGGGGAGTGGCGGCTGAATATATAAGTAACGCGGGAGAGTGACCTGTGAAGAGTGGAGTGGGAAAGTCAAACAGGCCGTGTTTGGACTTTGGAAGACGCGGTGCAATAAACACGTGGGATGTTGGTCACTCGTAGACAATAGACATGTCCGGTCCACACGCCAAACAAGGTTGGATTAGATCTAGAATATTTCCAACACTAAACTCAAATGAACAAACTTTCTTTCTTTGGATATTAGTTCCATTGTGACAAAATATTGTACGTAGGTATTTCAAAAAAACAAAATTACATGGGAGTACAGTATTATACTTCTTCGGTAACGTGGAGATCTTCCAGTTTTAAAAGTGGATGATAATATGAGTAGTGAAAAGAGATACTCTGTATAAATTATTGAGGGTATGATGAAAAAAATGGGAAGATAATGAAATAATGTGATAGAATGAAAGATAAATCCAAAAAAGTAGGTGTATAATGTTTAATTCATAAAATAGTTGAGAATATGATCAGAAGATTTAGAAATAGGAAAATTATTTAGTTACGGTTGATAAAGGTTAGTATGAAGATCTTTTACGTTATAAAGGTAGTAGTTTCTAAGGGTCCATTTTTATGCTTAATACAAGAAAGACGTCACAGCATGAGGACTAGATCATAGTCCAAACAATTTCCCTGGACCTTCTGTGTTTTTATTTTCGCACTGTACCGTTTTTTTCTTATCAATAAAATTTCCCTTTTATCAAAAAAATAAATAAATAAAGCATGTAGGTGTATTTCATGTTACCCTCATTAATTTAGTGTTCACAGAAATTGAGGTTCTTATATTTCCTTCAATGTCTTAGGGCATCCACATCCATAGATTATTTTTGAGATCATTTTGATGATGTGGAGGATTTTTTTGGGGATCATGGATGAGGAGTTGAGATTATTTTATGAGATTATTTGATAAAATAATCTGGTATCAAATTCTAAAGCTGGATTATTTTGAGATTATTTCCAACTTCTAGGCATATACTCATAATTATGGTGATGACTAGCTTTGTAGTTCGTGCATGTTCATGCTCCTATTCAAGGTAAATTAAGATCATGAATGAGGAGAAATTTATTGGTTTGGAAATTATTTGAGATTATCTTATGTGGAGATGACATGAAAATAATAGACTATGAAAAACCGTAAAGTTAAAGTACATTAAAGTACTCTATTATGTTGTTTATCATTTTAACTCGAGCAAAAGTTGAATACGAAAGTGGTGAGTCTATTTTTCGTTCTGAACAATTTGTAACTTACCCGTGCACAGCCAACATATCATGGTGTTCTATAACACTGCGTTTTAGTTAACAAAAAAAAAATTGGGGAGAATATTCCAGGAAAAATAAAGGATAGACTTTACATTTTTTCACATTTTTCACATATTGAAGCTCTAATATTAATACATTGCACTGAGAAAGCTTATTCTTTTTTAATCTTAAAACAAAAGGTAAAATTGGGGAGAAAGTTCGAGGAGAAATAAAGGACGATAGACTTGATATTTTTCGTATGCTTTAGGGACTAAATTGATCTCTTTTTACATGATGTTATCACAATTAGGATGTTTTTGAGTGTTTGAATGGGCCACAAAGCACCATACTTTGATTGAGCCAAATGAAAATCAAAAGAATTTGATGAAACCCATGATGTCATTTTCAGGACGAGTTCGTAAATAACAACATTCCATTGAGCTTCCGGCAAAAGTTCTCAAGTACCGTTCATCTTAAAAGAATTAGAAGAGACAATGACATTGGTTTGTGAAAGAGAAAACTATTGAGATTGTTTTTCAAAGTGAAATGAAGTATATAATAATCGATAAAGCATTTTTTCCGAACCAAAACTATTTTGACAAATTATACAGACTATTATTTTACGTGGTTAGGTAGATAAAGTTTTGATAGATAATAATAGTACTCCGTAATATTACCTCCGTCCAATAATCGTTGTCTCATTTCAATTTGGTACGATTATGAAAAAAGTGATTGAAAAGTAAAAGTTGTGATTGTGATATGAGAAGAATAAAATGAAATGATATGGACCACAAATTTATTACCAAAAAGGGAAACATGACATGCATTTTGGGAAATCCAAAAAGGAAAGTAAGACAACCAAAATAAAGCAGAGGGAGTAAATTTTTAATTAATCTTTGATAGAGTTTGCAGGAGATAAGTTGCACCTCTTCTATATCGTGCATTTACAACGAACTAAGAAAATAGATAGTAAATGATTACAAAGCAAATGTGCATTTACTACCATAACATACAACAAAACTAATTAAAATTAAAAGTACAAATATACACATTGAAAATCGAACATAGTCAATGTTTTTTAACCACGTAACCAAGTTTCCGGACAATACCAGGTTTCGGGACAAGCACTTTTTCGAATGAGAAAGGCTCTTGCAGATCTGTTGTAACTTTCAATTGGCTAGTCCAAATAAAGTGATTCTAGTTGCGTTGGATTTGTATAGAATAGGGAGCATTTAACTTCTCGAAAAACGTCAATTTACGTATGATAGGTAATCAAACTAAATTACACTTAGTTCATGAAAATTTATATCCAAGGGATAGTGTCACAAGTTCATCCCCTAAAATGGTATTTTATCCTTGATATCTCACTCCTTAAATGCACTTTCACCATAGGAATTGTCTTGCTCCTCAGCTTTTGTACCTATATATATATATATGTCCACGATCTTCACTGATCGGATGCGTAGTGCAAGTCTTCTCGTATCTCTATCGGTGGTTTCTCGAAAACAAGTGACAGATCTCATACATTCTTCTTGCTCATTGACACATGAAACACATCATGAAACTTCTCTAGCTCCAGAGTAAGTTGAAGACGATACACTATACGCCATGACCTGATCCTCTACAGGAATACCTCGGCTATTTGTCTATGGTAACCCTACTATAAAATACTTGGTCAAATGCTCCCGCTTCCACTCAAGAATGGTGAGTGGCTACAAAAGTCCCGTATGCTGCTGCTATTCAACCTTAAACTTGCTCGCAAGTGTACGTAACGCCCCTCCTAGGATTAAAGGAAACATTATACTAACTTACTACTTTAAAAATAAACTGCAATATAACAATCGTTTCTTTAAGATATAACATAACCTTGATATATAAAATTATCAAAAGTTACTCAAATATAATTCCAAATAAAACTTAATGAAATCTATTTATCACAACGGGTGTGATAACAACCTGGATTCAGCCAGATCAAATTAAATAATTAAGAACAACCATTTTACTATCACAAACTTAAATCCTTAAGTAAAAAATATCTAGAAGAGCCAAGGTCATTCCCGTTAACTCATTTTAGCACACGTTCTACTCCCTCACTATCTTCCAAGACCTTGGTCTTACCCTAATTAGTAAGGTCATTCCCGTTAATAATATTTGTACATGTAAATGAAGAAAACAGATAAGTTCTACGCTTAGTAAGTCACTATGGATCCGCAAAAACATTTGATAAGTCTATGCTAATTCATCAGTAGATGAATTTAGGCTATAAACATGCCCGTAAAAAAACTCACAAAAACTTCTCAAATAAATTTTGAAAAAGATATCACAAAAGAAAATACTTTCTAAAATAATTTCTCAAAACTGCTGAAAATATCTCAAAATTTCTTTGTGAAGAGATCTCAAAATACTTTTTCAAAACATTTATGTAAAAATTTTCTGAAAGAGATTTCATTAATACAGGGTGTAAACATTTATGTTTGGATCCCTATAATCCATCAATGGTGCTTTTATTGAGAGTTTGAGCAAAAATAAAGTGAGAAAACCTCCCAAAAAGAATATGTCCAAAACACAAAAAAATCCAGTCAAAAACTATTCTGGAAAATATCATAAAATAGCCGAAGTTTCAGATCTGGAGAGGTTGGAAGAATCACAGCCTGCGTTCGGGCAGACCCAACAGTCCCCGGCGAAGTCTAGTCCGGTCACATCCGTCACAGCCGCCACGCCGGTAGCCATCGCAGCTCAAGGAACGCCCAGGCCGCGATTAGAACTCCGGAGTCATCCGCTTCGGCGGTTGAGGCTCAACCTCAAATACCGCCATTAATGGCCGCTTCAACGCTCCTGGAGTAACGAGGTGCACCTCCGGACGAAAAACATGCCCTGAATCTGCAGGACCCGCCGGAGCGGCCCGAGCAGTAATAGTTCTGACGGACCTCTCCTCACCCCTCCGATGACTGCGAACCCCGGAGCTTGGCAGAGCAGCAACGGACATCGAGGGGTCCTCTCCCCTTTTTGACGATGACCGTGACCGGGAACTCCCTTCCTCTCCATCAGCGACGCCGATTATTCTCAGTCTTAGGGACAGCAACTCCGACGATGGCCAAAGCACTCTCCCTCTTCGGAAGCTCTGTCCGCAGAAGCTTGGGTAAGGTGTCGGGCGAGCTAGCTGTACTTGGTCAACAAGAAATGCTGGGCTTGATTCTTGGGCCAAGGCTACTCCAACCCCAAATTTTACTCTCAACAATGATATTGGGCCACAATTTCAGCAACACACCCATTTTCAGCCCAACAGAAGCTAAGTGCTTTTTCTCCAACTTTTATGTAAATTGTCAAATTCTTAAACTGATTCAAAAAAAAAAAAATAATTATAAAAATTATGAAATGGAATATTTTAATAATATAGCATCTAACTTCAATCTCAAGGGGCGAGTCATCCGTTAAAAGATCCCGAAAAGCACGGACTGGCAGATTCGAACTAAGTGACAAGTTGAGCTAGATTATTAATTTATTATCATTACTTTTAAAGACTTCCAAAAAAGAAAGTCATAAAAATGAAAAAATTAATAATATAACATCAAACTTCAATCTTGAGGGGCGAGTCATCCGTTAAAAGATCCCGAAAAGTGCGGACTGGCGGATTCGAACTACGAACATGAGTGGCAAGTTGAGTTAGATTATTAATTTATTATCATTATTATTTTTAAATAGTGTGTATTTTTTGACATTGAAAAAACGAACTTATTCTGAGCACTCGCATACACCGGCGGACTATTGAAGTCTTGCGCCACGGGTCACGACAAACGGGTGTGGCGATAAATAAGCTTCAAATCCAAATGTTATCTAATAGACACTCTGGTTTCTATGTTCTATACGAGTTATGTGTGCGCCCTAAAACTATCGAGTCATACTCCAAATTAGGCGCGTGTCACGCTCCAGTTAAGCATAGAAACATAATTTGAGCCCCAACTTGAAAATTTGAGGTCACTTAATGTAGGCTCAAATCCAACAGCAAATTATAAGCTCAAGAAATTATAACAATTTTATTTGAATGCATAGGTGCAACTAAATGATGACCAGGACTACTTAGCATGCTGAGCTACTCACATAGAGAGACTGGTCTCGGCCATCCCCTCAGCAGACGGACACCGCTGCAGCTCCGTGCCTAGGTCGAAGGGTTCACCCCTTTTGCTTCATTTTGGGGGCATCTGATGTACTCTTTTTCCCTCATTAGGATTTTTTTCCCACAGGTTTTTTCGTAATGAGGTTTTTAACGAGGCATCTCCCCATTGTGGATCAAAAAGTGTCGACCCTCGGCCCCCTATTGAAGACATCATCACGAGACATGTACTACTCTACTCCTCTTCACCTCACTACATTCACCTCAAGGAGTGGGGGACTGGACGAGTGGGGGACTTAGCGCCACCGTTAACCAAAGAAGCAGAAATTCCAAAATTTTCACGAAGTTTACTCACCAGACGATGACAGATCAGCACACATTTCTACTCCCTTTCGCCTCGAGTACTCTCGACTCAGGGAGTGGGGGACTCCTGATAGAGTATATAAACTTGGACCCCAGGGTCTCACGACTATTGGGTCTGGACAGCGGCCCACACACGCTTCACCGATATCATTCATATTATTGTACAGTCCGATTTGTATTTGTATCCACTAGATTAGCCTTTTTTATATCAGTCCATTTATGTAACCGGGTTTGTCGGGCCCATATTAGAGGCCCAGACCCGGATTTCCCTATTTATACACCTCTTGGAGCTTCTTGTAACCTTAAGTCATAATTCCATAATTCAATACTATTCATCTTCTTCCTCACCTCTCTTGCTCAAATCTCTCCTAATTATGTATGTTTGGATCTCTATAATCCATCAGAACTATAATACGACGGTGGTTCAAAAATTGTGAAATCTTGATGCGAAGAGAATTGAGGGGGCGGTTGTGATTTATCACCCCCACATTCATATTCAGCTGCATCACCCTCTTCCTCGTTTCCACCGTCACCTGCATATTCATCTCTATCTTCATCAACGTGACCATGTGTACGATCACGGGTGGGAGCATCTCTTCTTCGATCAGGCGTACGACGAGGGACGGGAGCGGGCTCATCTTGTGCATTCGGGTAAAGGAAAACATTATGGTGGAGCATCATTTCATCACCTAGATGTTTTCCTAACTCGCCATCCATGGCCAACCGCTCAAGCCGTTCTTTAATGTTTTCATAACTCGCCGCCTGGTTGGCGAGCTCATACACATCGTGAAAGCCCTGCTTCTGCATAAAAATTTAACACATATAAATAATATGACACAAAATATGTTAATGAATATGGTATGTATTCAAAAACTTACCATAAGACCCCAATCACGTGCTGTCGGGGTGTATCCTGTCGCCGGCGCAACGTGAGAAGGGTTCTCGACACGTATCATCCCATGTTGCGAGTACCATTTTCGGTACCTATCAGTTGCTGTGAGTATTCTTTGTTGTTCGTAATCCAGCATGTCTACACTATTACGTCGGTTCGCCCACATTGTCAAGACAGATGTTGATACGGCGGAACGACTAGTGTGATGATCATTACCTTGCTTAGCGTCTTGTGGAATATCTTGCATTATATAGTACTGTCGAAGAAATCGATCAGGGTAATGCCTTTCAGTCATATTGCAAAATATGAGCATTCCCTCATATGCCCAAAGCAGGATGTCATCAAAGCAGATATGTGGGAGTGTGTTGAACGGGTAGGGAAAGAAGTAAAACTGTAAATAGTAAATTTATAAGATTTTACTTTAAATTTAACAAGTATAAAACAATGTGTACAGAAAATTGAATAGTACGGTTGAAGTATAAATTCCGAGTACTACCTGACTCTCACTCATGCGATCAAAGAGGTCCCGGTACAAGCGTACGTAGTGTCTTGGGGCATTCTTGTATGACTTGGGGATGATCCACCTACATTTGTTGATTACCAATATGAAGTTAAAAAATGAAACCACATAAAAAGTATTCTCAATTATTAAGATCTAATTGCAAACATACCGACACCCATATGGAAGATGTTGATGTTGAATTACCTGGCGTAATTTTGGACCGATCATCGAAATCCTTGCACAAGCCCAAATCTGTAAGAAATGCATACAACCACCAATTTGTTTGGTGTCCCACTTCGTGCCACGGTCTAAGTTGTGGTAGAGGAACCCAAACACCGCTGATCCCCAACTCCATCGATGAGCTAAATTCAAGTCATCTTGCATAACCTCCAAAAAATACAATCTTATTCGATCTGGTCGAACTTGTGTCGGGGAACAAACATTCTCCCGCTAATTGCCATATCATGACCCTAGCGTGCTGGGTGACCTCTTCATTTGTACTGTGAGGTAGGATTGGGCGACGGATAACACTACTCAGTACGATATCCGTCGTACGCAGAGTAGTCTCCATAGGAGTGAAACCAAAAGACTGCGTGCACATCTCCATAGGAGTGAAACCACTAGTCTACTACGGAGTATTTTAGTTGTTTGTGTTTCTTCTGGTGGGTATAAATTACTACGTAAGTTGTTTGTGTTTCTTCTAGTTGGTTGCAAGCCTCTAATATCTCTTAATTTCGGTAGGTAGGCTTTATCTATCTTAAATAATCTAATTAATTTTTATGTGATAACATTTATCTAATTAAATTTTATCTGATTATATTTATCTGATTAAATATTATCTCATCAAATGTATCCGATTAAATATATCTAATTAAATTTTATATGATTATATCTGATAAAAGTTTATCTGATTATATTTATTTGATAAAAGTTTATCTGATTATATTTATCTTAGCTGTTTAAAATAGAAGTAACTCCTAAGTTTTTGGTAGCGTTTTACCTTTGTCCTTTTAATTTCAAATTTTAAAAGTTTAATTTAACCCTATAATAAATGCAGTACCCCATATTCTTCCTTGTTCACGTAAACCGTCTCCTTAGACCCTGTACTCTAGTTTGATGCTTTATACTCCATTTCGTTATTTTCTACCTCCGATCTCTTTTAATTGCAACATTGGACTTTTTGCACTATTCACATATTCTACTTTGACAATATTTTATTAATTAATGTATTATAAATTAAATTTTTTAAAAATATTGTTAAATTCTTCTCATTCTAATTTTTCAAAATATGAATTTTTTTAAATATTTTACTAATAAGGAATGAAAGATATTAATGGCCAAACTTGTGCGTTGGTAAACGTGAAATGTTGACTGTTGCAATTAAAGGGGACATAAGAAGTATTTGGGAGTTGGATGTGTACCGTTTTTTATGTTTTCTTTTTTATTTAAAAAATTATTTATACTGAATCTTTACTAATTCAAAACATTATTATATCATTAGTTACAAATTTGAAAAACCTAGTCTTTCCTTTAAATTATTTTACTTCCCTATATCAATAAAATAAGCAATATTCCGTACACAAAATACTTTAAAATTGCACTCCCTCCGATTCTTATTCATCTTTACACTTCCTTATTTAACTTACAAATCTATAACAAACAGTGCCAAACAGTGAAAAAAAAAGGACAAAACACCCACTAGTCACCATAAACAAAAAACGAAAAGCAATGTCATTAGTTTACTATTGCATTCTTATTTAATTGAATGGATCCTTTTTTTTTTGATTAATTGAATGGATCCTTATTTCATTGAATGTGCCCGTATTTTTTTAAAACGTGTAACATACTACGAAGTATTATTTAAACTAATGTAATATACTATTCTTTAAACTAGTGTAATGTACTATTATCAAAATACCTAAGAATAAATTACATGTTTAATACGTTAACTAGTCTTATGTGATGAATTTTTATCTGTTTACTTTTTATTATAAATGGGTCAGATCCTCCCTTAAATTATTAGAAATTTTATGCAATTCATAAATTTTTTATGAATAGTCTTATTTGTCTGATTTTATCTAATTATAAATTTATAATCGAAATAGTGTATAATGACATATATAATTTCTATATACTACTCCCTCAGTCCCTTAAAACTATGTCAAATTTGACCAATATGGGGATTACCAAAAAGAGAAGTTATTCGATCAGTATATATATAACATTAGACTATTTATTAAACTATTAACAATAAATGTCAACACATAAAACCAATTCATTTTAAATTCTATTTAACATGATCAATACATACCGGGTGATTCAGAATTCTCAAACGTTTGGGGGTTGTTTCTCCGGCCATATAATGATGATGGTCCCACTCTGCTATTTTGAAGCATAATAGTATTATTTGAAGGAGCTTCGAGGAACGTCAAATTTTGTGGCTAAGTCGCTATAGCTTCCACGTAAATGTGCAACTCATCGTACTCATTTCTAGCGATTCGGAAAAAATTAGTCCAAATCTTCTCATCGTGAATGGGCCATAGTCTAGACGCAACATATACCGAGTTCTAATATTTTGGCAATTTTCCGTAAATTAATCTAATTTCGGAAAATCACTCACCTGTAACACGGTTTAGAACAGTCTCGTGTATACTGGTAAAATCATCTTCTTCACTAATGAATAGTACCGCCCTAGGAGGTATGGAGTACTCTATTTCATTATCTATTTTGAAATGTAACGTAGAGCCATTCCAATGAACCATAACAACAATCTCACTAGACATTTGTATATAATATATACGGAGTATTAAGAGAGCAAGAAGTTTTTTTATTGTGTTAAAAATTTGAGGATGAGGAATGGGTTTTATAGCATAAATCAACACCAATGTTAGGTAAAAGTTTTGGTTTAAGATGGAACACGTATATAAATAGTATAGGTGGGACCAAATTTTTGGCTTTTCCTCTAGTTGGAAGTGCCAATTACGAATGGAGATAAAATGGAATCTAATGACTTTTTTTTTAGATTTTAATTGATTCAAGTTGGCAGGATGTATAATTTCAAAAAAAAAAAATCTATTATCTATACCTTGTCGGATTTGCCAATTCTGACAGGAAGCCCTAACCCATGCCCTAACCCCTGGTCGGAAGGGGAAAATCCGACTCCCGCATTTTGTATTTCGGCCCTCGTAATTTCCTCTGTTTAAGAGGTCCAGTGTTTCTGGCAAATGACCCGAGAACTCATTATTGGATAGATCCAAAGTCTGAAGATTGGGAAGTTTGCCTATCTCTTTTGGAATATGGCCTATATTGTTGTTTTGTAACACCCTCCATGAAATAAATAAGGAATTTATTCCAATAATTAGGACTCTAATACAAACGCGTGTCTGATTTTTTCCCTTCTTAGGATGTTTTCTTTTGGACTGAAATTTGCTGGTCTGATCTTTGTGTATTTTATAACTACGGAAGTCTGGTCTGATCTGATCTGGTCTGATCTGGTCTAGTCTGGGACTGAAAATAGTCCAAAAGAAAACATCCTTTGCAATTTTCCTACCTATAAGGGAAAATATAAACAACAATTCCACCATATACCTACCAAAACAGGGCATTCTTACATTTGTTTGAGATTTGTGAGGTTTGCTCTAAACCTAGACAATGTCCCTGATAAACCTTGACTTGGTGCTATTCTGCACAACCCAAGAATTAGTTCTCCCTTCTTTGTCTTTTATTTAAAATAAAGTAAAATATTTGAAAAGAACACCAATAAGCTAAGGAGGAAAAAAACCTCACAATGCAGTGACAATCTAGATTTTCAGGAGAACAAGTTATCATAGCCCAACGGAAACCTAAGATTCAGAATAAGAAACTCAGCTAATGAGATAACACCAGAATCACACTGCCCATACGATCGACTAGAAGTTACACATGCCAATTGATATTATATGTTTATATGTGAACCAAAAGTTTCAGAACATACAAGCAGATGAATTACGTACATGATAATTTGATATGGGACAAACCTGAAATGATTGCCATTTGATGAACCTGGAGTTTACAAGATTCTCTGCCTCCTTTAAAAGCTCACCAGCTAAAACAACTACTGAAGTATACCATCCCTCACATCATCCTGTTGGACTTTAAACATCCTAGATTTTATCAAATATATAAATTGGTAAGAAGTAGCAAATTATATAGTAGTATATAGATTACCCTATATTAGTAAATCCAAATATAAAATAACCTAAATGAAAAATACAAATCGAAGTTCAATTTGTTGTCCAAAGTTTTTTTATTCTTCCATGTTTAGTCGCAATTCTCCAATCCTGAAATTAAAACAATCCCTCATAGTGTTTTGTAAAATAAATAATAAAGAAAAGGGAACATAAAAGACTAAATTCAGATGCAATCTTAACAGAGTTATTGTTAAAATTAAAGAGATATTCGATAGTCCACAAATAGCGATTGACTTGGGCAATTCAGCAAACAGTTTATGAACAATGCTTATTTTTTATCAAATCCAATTGAAGGCCGTGAATCAATGTCAAAATCACAAGTTGAATGATAGTATAGAATTGTTATTATTTATGTTTGTAATTTTAACTAGTTTTATTTGTTGTTGTTTGGGAAATTACACACTTTTGGTGTAATGCTTTATTTTTCCTATTTATTTGTAATTTGTATAGATTAGGATTATTGTGGGCTTTAACTAGGTGAAGATCATCAAAAGGATCCTTGGAAAGGTCAAGGAAAGTGAAAGGGAACAAGATCAAGTGAAAATTTGGGGAAATAGTCATTTACCCGATCAGGTAAAGCATATACCCGATCGGATATTGACTTGATTTGAAAATCAAATCTGATTTGGAGGCAATTTAACGAGCATGGTGAAGATTTGGCAAAGATTTGTCTTTTACTCGATCGGGTAAATCATTTACCTGGTCAGGTATAATGTGACTAGTGAAGCTTTGGGGCAATTTCTCAGGATACCCGATCGGGTATTTCAAATACCCGGTCGGGTAAATGACCCTACCGCCTCTAAACACCTATAAATACACAACTTTTCCTTCCCATTTGAAAACCAATTCACATATTGTAACACCCACCCCGCCCGGTCTGACCGGTTCAGGGCAAATGTAACTTTCGTTTATCATTCGGTAAAAAAAATCTTCCAATTAAATTAGAAAACATTTAGTAAAACGCAAATCGTGGAATTTTAGTTGATAAACGTGTCTCCAAAAATATGATTCTCAATATTAATAAAACTCACTTTATTGAAATAAAGTCCTTATTTTTAAGGCATTGTTTGTACCAACTTAAAATATGAAAACAAAACAAAAACATATGCATTGCAGTCCTCTCCAGATGTCTCTTTGTCCCCGGACTCCAGCTTGATTCTCTGATTTACCTACGTGTAGAAAAAACTACACGCTCAGCAATTGAATTGCTGAGTGGTACTATAATATATCACGCAACAATGAAAGTTGTACAGATAAATAAATAACAGAGATTTATCAAAGTTCAACAACAACTTTCATATCAATTGTACCTCGATCTCATTTTTAATTAAAAATATTCTTTAGCTTGTTCATGTACTTATATCGGGGTGGAAAAATAATTCCACATATAATTAACTGTACAACGGAAGTCATATTCCGATATAAGGAAAATCGTTCTCTTCTTTCTTTTAAAATAGATGATAAGCTAATTTTCAACATACCATTTGTCTTGTTCCATTTAACTGTATTCTTCCTACCATTTGTCTTGTTCCATTTAATTGATTTATTTTCCTTTACTTAATTTTGGACCAATTGTATTTTAGTTCCATGCATGTATACATTTTTTTTGTAAATGATATTCCAATCCCAAACTTCACTTTTGTTTTAGCATTTAATATCTTTGCATTTTATTTTCGTTATTCCCAAAATAATACTAAAAATTGTACAACTGAGGTGTTACATTTTTAATCCTCTTCCTTATAGAAAAAGTCATCTCTATTGTTTTGATTGCTTATATAAAAAAGTCGTTTTTATAAACATACTACGTTGCTTTTATCCCTGTTATAAATTTTAATTTAAATATATTGTACGAGTAATAAAAAAGTTTTACATCTTAACTACTAGACCGAATTTCGGGGTGTTACAATTATCTTCCCCTAAATAAAAATTTCGTCCTCGAAATTTCAAGTAAGGGTACATAAAGCTTATTGCATATTTAAAAATACCTGAAGTAGCATGTATGTATATACGCTTTATTATTAAAACACTATTATAAAATCCCTTTCAAAAATCTGGTACGGTAAGCCCTTGTGTAGAGTTTAGAGTATCATTCACGATATCTCTCTAGGCACAGTTTTATTTAAAAATCAGGTCTATACGCTGAACAACTATTGTTTGTATCTAATCCCAACATCTTATGTTATATGAGTTTCACTCTTTTTGTAAAAGAAGCACAATGGATAGAAATAGGTGCAATCGGCTTCCCTCAGAATGGAATCTCAAAAATTAAATTTCTTAACCACTCCGCCTCTTTACCGGCGGTAGCCAACGCAACAAATTCAGATTCCATCGTTGAACTTGTGATATAAGTTTGCTTCTTGGATGCCCCAAGAAATGGCACCTCCCCCAAGCAAGAATACCCAACCACTTGTAGAAGAATGATCCGATATCCAACTTGCATCCGAATATCCCTCTAAAACCGAAGGATACTCAAAGTAACACAAACCATAATCCATGGTTCCCTTTAAATACTTGAACACTCTCTTCATTGCTTGCCAATGTTGAGTACTAGGATTACTAGTAAACCGGCTCAACCTACCCACGGCATAAGCAATATCCGCCCGAGTGCTTGTCATGGCATACATCAGACTGCCAATGGCTTGAGAGTACTCAAGTTGTGATACCGCCTTTCCTTTATTAGGCATCAACTTCACACTAGGATCCATGGGAGTACCAACGGGTGAACAATCACTATAATTAAACCTTTTGAGAATATTCTTAACGTAGTGAGCTTGTGTCAAAGCAATCCCTTTGTTTACCCGTTTAATCCTTATACCAAGGATCACATCCGCCTCCGTTTTACATCTTAACTACTAGACCGAATTTCGGGGTGTTACAATTATCTCCCCCTAAATAAAAATTTCGTCCTCGAAATTTCCAGTAAGGGTACATAAAGCTTATTGCATATTTTAAAAAAACCTAAAGTAGCATGTATGTATATACGCTTTATTATCCTATACCTAAAAGCACTACACTGGAGAGAGAAATTTCTCCCGCTCATTTCCATCCTTAATTACTTCGTGCTGGGCATAAACGTAATTGCACTACTCCAGAGAAAAGAATCGTCTTCAATTTCTGTCTTTTCTCTTCCTTCTCCAGCCGCACCTACACGCTTGCACCAGTTCACCGAGAATCACCTTTCGCCGCACCGTTCCCTGCAGCAGCTCTCAATCGCGCCCACCCTTTTGCTTGCACTATTTCTCAATCTCCCAGTGTCGCCGCACCTCACCGCTTCACCACTTCAATAGTGAGGTTCCTCGCGCATTGTTGAATCAGTTGTTTGCAACAGTTGTTTTGAGGTTTTCTTTTTCCTCAAGATTTCTTGATGTAGCTATTATCCAGATTTACCATCCGTTTTTGTATCTGAGTCTATTCCCCCCTAAATATTGACTAATTAGTATTAGTACGAATTATATGATACTTTCTCAGTGCCTACTTTACTTGCATTCTCTTCAGTATTAAACTTTCAATTCTTCCTTAATTTTTCACACTATTCAGTATTAAACTTTCTAAAAAAATGAT